AAAAAAAAAAAAAAAAAAAAAAAAGAAAACGTTTTGCCGCTTGGTAACAAGAGTGAAGGGTAACTCTCTTTTGAAGATGGCGTGGATTATGCGAAATTAATGTACGACTCTTTCCTTCTTTTCTACCTTTTTTCTTTTTTTTTTTCTCTCTTTTTTTAGAAAGATAACATTGCGATTGTGACTGAAACGAAGAACGATTAAAGTCTAAAAATTTGTTAAGCGTGTCCTTCTTTTTCCCGAATGCAATAGTTGGAAGCGCCGATTTCAGAATGCATTTCGTGAAAGTGCACCGCCACTATATTCCCCAGAAATGGAATAAAAACTGAGACTTCACCCCTCTGTCTCTTTCAGCATTTTACAAAAATTGAAAGCAAAAACAATTTGCCACTCGTTATCCATCGCTTTGTTTCCTTTCCACTCTTGCGAAAGTATACGTAAAAATCATCGACGTATCTCGTTTAAACTTGAAAGAGAACGATTCGTGGTGGAAAAATTCGCTTCTAATTGGAAATCACAGATCGAAGTCGCTGGACTTGGCTTCTTTTCTGAAATTCAAAGTCGTGTAAACTCGCGGTGCATGAAGTTGTTTAGCACACGTTATATTTGCGTGATTTACACGTATCTTAATTCTGGATCCGGGACATATCACACGTATTAAACGATTTACGTACAAAACGAAAGTGTGCCTCTTTGTCCTGGATGTGGACGTGCGCATAATCTTCCGCAGCGTATAGTTACGACTCGCTATCAAGGCACGTATGTAACACGTTAACGTATTTCCGTTTCGCAGCTACCGTCATTACGTTGACGTATGTAAATTTAATATGAAGACGTTTAGAAAACTAATTCGTTCGGACAGTTATGTGGTTGGTTGCACCAAAACGTAGATATCGAAAATATTTCATTTGACAAGATGGGAAATCAGGTGTTTCGGTCTTTTCCTATCGCAACATTTCTTTCCAGAGTGAAAATGTTTTTTGTTTTTCTTTTTTTAGAATATTAACGATCGCACGTGACAATTATCCTAAGGTACACCTTTATTAAGAGACAATCAAATATCAGATAGAGATAAAATCGTACGCGCCGAATCTCTCTGTCTAAAGGTCACACCCACGTTTATTAATATTAAGGACAGGTGACACTTGCGTTTTCATCCGCCGATGAAAACTACGGCTTTTGATATCGGTATCTTTGCGATCGGCGCGATTAATCAACTGCGCATTTTCTTTATCACTTCCGGCAGAACGTGTCGAATATTTTCAAGATAAAAAGAAAGAAAGAAACTTTATTTTCGTCATACGTTCGAGATTACGATAACAAATGTTCATCTGCATTGCACATTTTTCCTTTATGCGCTACGTTCAAGTAAAACCTCGCGACGTCCTAAGGGTGACCATGGGTTCAAGGACGACCATTCCAACGCCATTTGAAACTGCTATTTAAATTGCAGAACGATGACAAACGATTTTGATCGACGATATATCGTTCGTCGTCTTTTCGAATTCTTCCTCACCAAAATAATCAATCCGGACCATATATCTTATGCTTAAGCTCTGTCGATAAAAAGGACACGATGCGAGTTTTTCCCTCGTCCCTTTGTAGATTGATAAACTTTCCACATCTGATCCCACAGTTTCAAAATTACAAGGTCCTCCATCTCTGTCTTTATGAAACGATCGGCCAGATTATCGTTA